GTGCTGCTTACTTTATAAAGCAGTAAAAGTGCCCCTTCCCGCACCCAAAACCAGTCGTCTGTGGATGATTGTCTTAAACAAGGACTGGTGGGACGTTGTGCTGCTCCACTTCACAGACGCTGAGTGAAAGGGGAGTTTTATAATGATGAGACACTCATTTATGACACTTTATTCACCAGGAAGAACAGCTCGTTCCGCGCGTCATACGTAATTACGCTATTTTTACGTCACTGCACATGTGCAGTACTTTCCAGTTTCAGTTTTCAATACGATTAAATGTTTGATCGAATTGAATTGAATTGGCCAGATCCGATTCAAATTTCGATCGGATTGTAAGGGGTGGTTTATTCCTTTTGTAATCCGAGCGAGAGGACATGTAAATATTTAATTGGATTGAAAACCGAAACTGAAAAGTACTGCGCATGTGCAGTGACGTAAAAATAGCGTAATGACGTGCGGTAGATAAATATCAAGTGTATTTTTAAAACAGTATGCGACATCTGAAATCTGATCAGAAGCTTGTAACATATAAACATGCATATAAACCCGATCACTTTATTTAGTGTTCATGTAAACACTACGTTGGAGTCGTCAATCAGAATGAATTCATTCCGATGGAAGCAAAAAGTGTATCACAGGTCCCAAAATATATTAAGCAGCACAACTGTTTCCAACACTGATAATAAATCAGCATATGAGAATGATTTCTAAAGGGTCATGACACTAAAGACTGGAGTAATGGCTGATGAAATTTCAGCTTTGCATCACTGAAAAAAATATATATTTTAAAGTATATTAAAACAGAAAACCAATATTAGAAATTGAATTAATATTTCACAATAGTACTGTTTTTCTGCATATTTTGATTGATTGATTGACTGACTGATTTGGAACTGATCAGTCATTTCCATACTATCCTACCTTTACCATTAACCTTCTAAAGCAGAAACTAAATTTTAACTTTTATGTGAGCAATGCTTGAAGCAATTATAAATAAATAAATAAAATTATATTACACTCACAGTATGTAAATAATAGTGTTATTAATAAAAAAAAATGTGTTATTATAATAGTGTTATTTTCTTTCTCCACAGATATTTTCATTTATAGTGACTTTGTGTTATGGCTGTAGCATGTTCATGGGCTTCAGGAGATGGAGAAAATAGCACACAAAAATGAAGCATATGTAACTGATTCATAGCACAATATCAAATGTAAACTGTACTGTTATGGACATTACACAAGGTGATAATGGTTTACCACAGTGTCTCTAGGGACTTTAGTCACATTTTATTTGTATTTTCTTATTTTTATTATATATAGAGTGCATCCTGAAAGTATTCACGCGCTTCACTATCTCCACACTTTGTTATATTACGGCATCCTGTTTCTACTGATCATCCTTGAGATGTTTCTACTGGAGTCCACCTGTGGTAAATTCAGTTGATTGCAGATGATTTGGAAAGGTACACTCCTGTCTATATAAGGTCCCACAGTTAACTGCATGTCAGAGCAAAAACCAAGCCATGATGTCCAAGGAATTGTGTAGACCTCCGAGACAGGATTGTATCAAGGCACAGATCTGGGGAAGGGTACAGAAAACTTTCTGCAGCATTGAAGGTTCACAAAAGCATGTAGTTTCTGTTACCCTTAATGGAAGAAGTTTGAAAGAACAAGGACTCTTCCTAGAGCTGGCCTCGTGGTCAAACTGAACAATTGGTGGAGAAGTGCCTTGCCTAGACTGGTGACATAGAACCTGATGGTCACTCTAGTTGAGCTCCATGATCATATATGCAGATGGGAGAAACCTACAGAAGGACAAACATCACTGCAACACCACCGATCTGGGCTTTATGGCGGTGTGGCCAAACTCAATCCTCTCCTCAGTGAAGACACCTAAAAACACACTTGGAATTTTCAAAAAAGCACCTAAAGGACCCTCAGACTCTGAAAAACAAGATTCTTTGGTCTGATGAACCTCAATTCTAAGCATCATGTTTGAAGGAAACCAGGCACTGCTCATCATCTGCAGAGAACCATCCCAAAAGTAAAGTATGCTGGTAGCAGCCTCATGGCCTATAGACAACTCTGTGAATGTCCTTGAGTGGCCCAGCCACAGCTTGGGATTTAACCTAATCAAATATTTCTGGAGAACGCTGAAAATTTGCATCTGCCCCCAACCAACCGGACAGAGCTTGAGAGCTAAAGAGGCGAGGAGAAGAATGGTAGATAATTGCCAAATCATGATGCTCAAAGCTTGTCACATCATACCCAAAAAGATTTGAGGCTGTAATTGGTGCCAAAGATGCTTCAACAAAGTATTGAGTAAAGGCTATGATAATTCCTTGGATTTCATGGCTTGGTTTGTGCTCTGACATGCACTGTTAACTGTGGGACCTTATATAGACCGGAGTGTACCTTTCCAAATCATGTCCAATCAACTGAATTTACCACAGGTGGGCTCCAGTCAAGTTGTAGAAACAGCGAACCGTGGAAACAGGATGCCATAAAATAACAAAATTATGAAAAAAAACAAAACAATGAATTTAATCCATTTTGGCATAAGGCTGTAGCATAACAAAATTTGGGGAAAAGTGAAGCACTGTGAATAGTTTCCGGATGCACTATATATATAGGTATGTATGTGTATGTATGTGTATATATATATATATATATATATATATATTTGTGTGTGTGTGTGTGGTTTGTGTGGTT